TTAGGGCCTAGGGCTTAGGGTTGAGGGCTTCGGGCTTCGGGTTTAGGGTTTCGGGTTTAGGGTTTAAGGTTTCGGGTTTAGGGTTAGAGTTCCGAACTGAAATGTGAAGTGTCCCTTCCAATTCCAAAAGAAACCTATTGCATTATTGAGCCCCTTGCTTTAGGGACTTGCGCCGTTGGTGTCTGGGAATTACACGGAAGTAGGGGTTCAGGGTTGAGAGTCTACTGCTTTGGGTTCAGGGGTTTGGGGGGTCAGAGCATAATGTAGTTGCGCTTCAGGTGCATGGGCTCTTTTTGGGAACTTGCAGACGTCTTCTGCAACACTTCCTGTAATTCTGGAAGGGAACAGCCCTAAAGCTTAAACCCCAAATCCGAAACCCCAAAAAGTCTGATGCGGCTCGGGTCCACCGAAATTCCAAGGCCGAAACCCGAAACTCTGACGAGTCCGGGGCACCCTAAACCCGAAACCCTAAACCCGAAACCCTAAACCCTAAACCCTAAACCCTAAACCCTAAACCCTAAACCCTAAACCCTAAACCCGAAACCCTAAACCCTAAACCCTAAGCTCAGTAGACGGAAGGATCCGAGAAACTCCGACGCTAAACCAACGAACCCCCCAAACACCTAATATAGGGGCCTTCATAATTAGAATAGGGTTCGGGGGGTTCCTGTTGAAGGGTTCCTTACAGGGTGCTATAAGGGTTACTATAAGGGTATAATGTAGGGGCCTTAATAATTAGAATACGGTTTTGGGGGTATATCATACTACAATCATTATAAAGGAACCCCCAAAACCCTTTTCTAATTGTTAAAGCCCCTACTTTACACCGTTTAGGGTGTAGAGTCTCTGGAGTTTTGTTGGGGTTTCGGTTTAGGGGCCCTGAGCACAGGACTCCAAGACATGCAGGTACGGAAAGAAGCAACCCTAAGCCCTAAACCCTACACCCGAAACAAGCCACCCTAAACCTTAAACCCTAAACCCGAAACTCTGAACCCTAAACCCTAAACTCGAAACAAGCAACCCTAAACCCTAAACCGTGCAAGCCTCGAAACCTTACATGGCAAAGAGCTCTGAGCCCCAAATCCCTATCGCCCCGAATCTCCGGTAAGACTCATATGAAAGCCTCACACAAACAGAGAGTACCTTATGAACATAGTATGCCTTTTATAGGGTACTCTCTGTTTGTATTATAACAGCGTATAGAATCCAGTAGGGCCTAAACCCCTAAACCTAAACCCTAAATCGCGTGAGACCGAAATTCGACCACTCAGTCAGGTCGCTGAGTTGGCAGCCGCGGCTAGCAAATGCGGCTGTGACGACGAGAGGCGAAATCAACCCCAAAGCCCAATCGAGAAGCCGGAATAGGTTTAGGGTTCAAGGTTTAGGGTTTAGGGTTTACGTTTAAGGGTTTAGGGTTTAGGGTTAAGGGTTTAGGGTTCAGGGTATAGGGTCTAGGGTTCAAGGTTTAGGGTCTAGGGTAAAGGGTTTAGGGTTGTAGTCACTATTATCATTATCAGTTCACAAGCATTAACTTTATCATTAGCATTATTCTTCTCAGTATCAGTATCATTATCATTATCATTGCCAAAGTCTTTATCGTTATCATATTCATTATTATCGTCGTTACTTGTAGCAGAATGCACCCCAAACCCCTAATTGAATCCTTAAACATTCATACACCCCTCTCATACAGATTGTCATCCTAAACCCAAGACCCTATCAACCCTAAACCTTCATCCCGCTGGGCCGCCTGAACTCTAAATCCCCGGGAACGATGCGTCCAAAACGGAAGCGCCTGAACAGCCGAATACCCGGAACCCCAAACCCTGTAGAGACAGAATGCGCTGAACCCCAAGCCCTCAAACACCTGAAACCCTCAATCGTAACCATCCCCGAAGCACAAAACTGCATCAGCCCAAATCCTTGAACGCAGCCCTAAAGCATACAGCCCACACCCCGCACCGCTGGACCCTGATTGCAAGCCGAAAGGGGCCCTAAAGATAGTTTGGGGTCCGGATCTGATCCTTGTTCTAGGTGGGGTGGTGGGTTTTGGATTTAGGGTCACGCCCCTAAACTCGCAAGTCTAAACCGCCCCGACGAGGGTTGGTGTAGGGTTGGTTCCGAACACGGGAAGTCGAACCCCCCATCAGACTTTGGAGACCATGGACATAGAAAGTTATGTGCATTTAGAACTATAGTTGCCTCATGTATATATATATATATACACACGCACATACAAACCCTAGCTACTAAGTCCCACGATCCTTCAAGCAGGTTCTTCTACTTCGTGGCGACTTATTGCAGCCAGAATCCGAATGCTTTCACCTGCCTGCGGGACCGGGCTGGTGCGAAGGGTCAGCGGGTTCGAGGCCAAGGGTTTAGGGTTGAGGGCATAAGTTGTAGGGAGCGCAAAACCATGGAATCAGGCAAGTCTTGGCGATCTTGCTCTCTGCTTGTAAAGCCTCTGCAATGCAGCATGATATTCAGCATGCAAAGTACGTAGCACAACCCAGATAATTAAAAAAACAGTCTACCATGTAAGGCTCCCAAGGAAGGGGGTGCAAGCATTCAGTCACGGCGTCAGGACAGCTGGCGTTGATGTACAGTGCTGGAATTCGGGCGCAGATCACCCTTACAGTAAGCCTTCACCCTACATGCGCACACACACACACACCCATGTCGGGGTCAATGGTACGATCTGTGCGTTGTCGGCCACTGTGCCACAGCGCCTTGGGTAGGCACCAGACCGCAAACCCTCCCCGATCTTATGTGTGCGCCGTCGTTGTGGATTCCATCTTAGATGCTTCTTGTCAAGGGTTCTTAACATCTACATTTTAACAGCTCCATACTGTGTCCCGAAACACTATTTCCCCAGATCAAGTAAACACCTCAGGCTTGAGCCAAGACAGGGGTCACGAGCCGGCAGCCCCAAACCCAGAATTCGCATCTGCGCACAGTCCCTAAAGGCAACGCCTCACAACCCTTGACCCAAAAACCACAGCAACAACCGTAGAAATTAGCGTCTAGACCCCTAGAGCTTTATAAATCTCTAAACCCTAAACCGTAATCCCTGAACCCTACACCCTAAACCCTAAACCCTAAACCCTAATCCCAAAACCCTAAACCCTAAACCCTAAACCCTAAACCCTAAAACTTTTTGGGAACCCTCAGGGCCAAGGTTTGGCAAAACCCGACTAGGACGTGGCCCTCGTCGCTGCTGCTCTCACGAGAAAGCTGGACTCACAGGCTTGGCTTCAGGGTTTAGGGTTTAGGGTTTAGGGTTTAGGGTGTTGAGGTTTAGAGTTTGGGGTTTAGGGTGTAGGGTCTCGGGAAGCGGGCTTAGAGTCTAGGGTTGAGGGTTTACGGTTGGGGTTTAGGCTAGGGTCGAGGGTGGCCCAAGTAATTGCCAATATCGTGTTTTTGGGGTTCCTTATTGTAATTGATTTGAGACTTGGGGTTCAGGGTCCAGGGTTCAGGGTCCTTGGGTGATGAATCATGCGCGAAAGGCTCAGCTCAGAGGCACAGAGGCTGCATGGCGCGATTCTGACGGGCTTCATCCAAGAAGCTGAGCGCGAGCTCTTCCACCCAAAGTCCACAACCCAAAAACCCTCAAACTCGACGCACGCCCAAACTTATGGAATCCTTAAGAGAGGGGGTTCTAGGGGGGGTATATAACCCGGTAATCCCCAATTCTCCCTAGCACTCCCTTAGGTTCCCTAAAGCTCCCTAGGACCCTCCCCCCTTGAGCCACCCTCCTTTAAGGATCCTATAGCAAACCAAGACTCTGAACTCTAACCGCCAAGCCTTGAACCCAACACCGAAACCCCGAAGATCGTCAGCATCCGTTTATCAGCTGGACGAGATAGTGATGGTCATAGATATACCCAGAGACTCCAAAACCCCTTAATTAAGGAATATACCTTAAACCATAATAGGAATCGGAATATGATTTAAGGTATATTCCTTAATTAAGGGGTTTGGGAGTCTCTGATAATGATGGTCATAGATACCTATGGATACCGACTTGGGTTTAGGGTTTAGGGTTTAGATGGTCATAGGTACCTTAGCAGGTGAATTTGGGAGCTGCTTTTCACGGGCTGTCCACTGTGGCGTGCGGGACCCCAGGTGCAGGGCGCCAGGCTGCTGCCGTCCAGCCCTAGAGGGTTTAGGGTTCAGGGGTTTAGGGTTTAGGGGTTTAGGGTTTGGGCTTTAGGGTTTAGTGTAGGGGTTTTGGGTTTAGGTTCCAGGGTTTAGGGGTTTAGGTTTTATGGTTTAGGGGTTGGGGTTTTTGGTTTAGGGGTTAGGGGTTTAGGTTTCAGGGTTGAGGGTTCAGGGTGCAGGGTTTAGGGGTCCAGGCCAACCTCAAGCCTACACACCCAACTGTTCCTACGAATGTAGGCGAAAGAAGAAGTCTAGCAACATCTCTTCGAAGACTCCAGTTCTTGCAGAAAGTGGCACGAAGACATGAATTAAGGACTATACCTTAAATTATAGGGGCCTTAATATTAAGATTTAAGGTATATTCCTTAATTAAGGGGTATTGGGCTCTCTGGGTAATTGTACACATGACTGTAGGTGCAGCATATTTGTCAGCAGCGGAGGTATGTTGCTACTCCAACTCTTGGAATGGCTTGCTGCATTGCCAACCCTAAACCCTAAACCTCGTGATCATCGTTGTCCTCAGCCTGATCGTCACCATCCACAGTCCATCTTGATCCATCAGCATAACCATCACCATCTCCGCGTTCTGCAGCCTTGTTGACCGCTCTAGGCTGCACCACCTGCGGGGCACGCTGACGGGACAGCCGATCCGGGACATCGCTGAGTTCGGGACGCAGAACAGGGTTAAAGTAAAGAGGTGCAGTCGAGACGTCGTCGTGCCACGGGCATTGGTTCGGTCCAGAACTTACCAGGCATCAGTGCTTCTGCAAGGATATCCCCCAACCCATGAATTGTGAAGCTACGTCCCACACACCGACAGTCAGAACGGAACAGAACTGCATTGGCAGGAATGGAAACTCTCGACGACAAGCATGCGCGGTTATAACTCATAGGGGCCGTATATTGGAAGCCGTTCCGGCGTGACACTAAACCCTAAACTTCAACACCCCAAACCTTAAAGGTTAAAAGTTTAAATACTAAACCCCAAAACCCTAAACCCAAACCCCAAACCGTAAACTGTGCTCTAGGAGGCGCCTCGTCCTTACTGGGGAGGCCCTGTACTCTCAGCAGTTTTGAAGTAGCGCTAGGGTTGAAGCGTTTAGGGATCAGGGTTTGGGGCTTTGGGCTTGGGGTTTCGGGTTTGTAGTATATATTCAGATTTATGGAACCCCAAGGAAAATGTTGCTTTTTTAATTCACGCTTCTACATTAACTTTCCTTCGTGGTTTGTGCCAGCATCTTCGAAACACTTCCAGGTTCTTCTACTCGCTGATGAATGTGTGCGGCACCCAGAGTGCCAGAGACCCTAAACCCTAAACCCTAAACCCTAAACCCTAAACCCTAAACCCTAAACCCTAAGCCCTAAACCCTACACCCTAAACCGTAGGCCTTACTCGGCCCCAGTCTCGAGCCACAGGTTCGCTTCATTCGCTTTTCTGACCGACTGACGTCCGTGAATGATGTAGAGGACTTGGCAATGTTCTCAGTGCTTAGGGTTTAGGGTTTAGGGTTTAGGGTTTAGGGTTTAGGCTCTAGAACGTTTGTAATATTATAAGGCAGCTTCAGGTATTGAGAGACAACTTGGTCACTACAGTGACGAAGACTCGTGTCAAGACGGAGAAAACAGGGTAAGGATCGTAAAGATGCTGATGCCGTCGATGAAGACGGTGACGAGCAACAAGAACTAGTTGTGATACCGCGGCTGTGGCTGGTTGGAATGCTGGTGATGGTCGTGATGATGATGACGATTATGGTGATGATGACAACAGTGATGCCTTCACGCATCCTCGTTTTCACACGGCGATCCGTTTGCAATTGGTCCTGCAGACAAGCACGAAGTCTGTTTCTGTCTAATTTCAATTTTGAGTGACCTCCTTGTGGCAGTCTGCAGGCCATAAGTTCGTAATGGACCAAAACCCAACGTTTAAACTTTCGGGCTCTTCTATTGTAGTACTAGTCAGAGAGTTGTAGCTTTTTGGTCACTCAAGTATTGGGAAGTCAGAATTGCATTCTATTCTAAACTATACCCTAAACCCTAAACCCTAAACCCCAAACCCTCAGCCCAAACCCAGAAGGCCACGGAGACTCCTCGTCTTGTTGATAGCCGCGCGTCAGTTCAGAACACCCGAAACACTAACCCCGAGAGTCCTACGCCCCTTCAGAATGTGCTACATGCCCAAAATAGGGTTTAGGGTTTAGGGTTTAGGGTTTAGGGTCTAAATCAGAACATGAAGGCCCCCATACCATAATCCAAAACCCTTTAGTTGAGGAGTATGCCTTACAGCATAACATTACGACCCCACGAATTTTAGGTGCATTCCCTAGTTCACGGCGGGGCTTTGTGGAAAATCCAAAAGCCTGATTTGTAGCGTCCTGGGATCGTTAGCTTAGGGTTTACAGTAGGGTTTAGGGTTCAGGGTTTAGGATGTTTTCTTAAGGAGGGCTACTTTTTTTACGGATCTTTTTGAGAATCCCACTGGGGTCCCCATTTTCCAAGATTCATCTGAAACACCACTCCTAAACCCTAAACCCTCAACCTTAAACCCTAAACCCTAAACCCTAAACCCTAAACCCTAAACCCTAAACCCTAAGCCCTAACCCTAAACCCTAAGCCCTGAACCCTAAAAACCCTAAAAACCCTAAAAACCCCAAAAACCCTAAACCCTGAACCCTAAACCCCACACCCCAAAAACGCTAAACCCTGAACCAATGCCTTGCAGACCAGGTTGGGTTTCCGAAAATAGGGGACCCTAATATAGTACCCTAAATAGTAGGATCCTTATTATTTGGAC